GTTTATGTGGACATTCAAAATACTCGGTTCGGTGCAGTTTGGTCATTACATTTTTCTCCCATTTGGGACACTTTGATTATTTTTACAACCTCGTTTAATTGGGCTATGGTTTTAAGTAATTTGTAGGAATAATAGACTAGTTATATACATATATATACAAAGTTTATTTGTAGTTCATCCCTAATCGATTTGCAACATTTAGATATTCGTTGATAAAAATATACACTTTATACACACATTGCCTATTTAAGCGAGTGGGCTTCAAATTTTATTTCTACGCCTTAATAAAGATAGACGTGTTAGAAGAACGATATTTAAAGTTAGGCCAACCATTCGCGAACAAGTTCAGCAATACGTTCCTTGGAAGCACGCATCTCTGAGCTGTCGCTCGAGCTGATAGAACCGAAATCCGTACAGTGGGAGGCTTTTGTAATAACCGTGGCACCCTCGGCAACACCTTGACCCATGGCACTCCAAGGGTCCAGTTCTCCGTGTGTCATATACACGTTCTCAACGTTCGGTTCCAGGCCGCCAAAGTCCTCATTGGTTTGGGCGATATTGCTTTCGATCTGCTCGTTTCCGAACTTGGAGCTGAAGACATCCTTACACAATTCAATGTTGAACGTGGCAGGGAACTTGTTGCCAAAGGGTTGATTATTTGATCGCGATGACTGATACCAGCCGTACTCGTTACAGGTCTGATAAAACCAGGGTCGAGCTATCAAACACAAAGAGTTTCAATAAATTAAAGCAACGCGGGTAAAAGCTTTATAACTTACACGAGTCAAAGTTGTCAATGCCCCACAGATAATACTCGACAGTCTCTTGATAGCGCGCATCGATGCAGCTTGGATAATTCCAGGCCCAATAGGCAAAGTTAGCTATGGCTGTGGCATTATCGTCAAAGCTCAGCAGAAAGTCACAATAATACTCGATATCGCCCGGGCTAGAATAAATTGAATGTAAGTCCTCAATGCTTTTGATCAAATGGCTGACTTACCTTTGTGTCTGAGCTACACTCGCAAAGATGTTGGAAATGCTGCCGAATAAGTTCCACATATCCAGATCATTTTCATGATCAAAACTGCTGCATATACGCAACATAGCACGTGCTTCAGCTGCGCGTTTGTTGTCAAACATGTACTCCAGTTCGGCAATACCATTCTGTATGCGATCGTAGCACTTCTGACCACCCAGCTCAAGGAACGCTCTGCCTGTCACCTCTTTGTATTCATAGAAATCAACCTTGGCAAGCAGCGGTGCGCTGGAAGCCCAGCCACCCACCACCAAGTCGGGATAGAGCCGCTTGAACCAAACGACCATTGTGGCCGAGTAGGAGCCACCGGCTAGCAACACCTTTGAGTTGGTAAGCTGTGCATTTTCCGATTTGAAAGTTTCAATAAAACGGGCCACATCGGCGAGCGCCTGCTTGACATGCAAATACTGTAGGTTCTCCAAAGACATTGTCCTGTTGGCAATTGATTTTGTATAGAAGATAATCCGCTATTGAATAAATACCTACTCTGTGGGCACACTTTCTCCATAATAACGATGCTCAGTGTAGATCAGCACGCCGTTGTGCTCCTTGGCCATGTCGTACCAATGACCCTGTTGTATCATCCCTGGACTGGCTTCCCATTCTCCACCCAGAAAGATGAATATGGGGCTACCATCAGTTTGGAATTCATCGTTAAGGAAATACCGCTGAAAAACACGGAAATACTTGAGATATGCGCTTTGAGTTTTCTGCTAGCACTCATACCATTTCGTATGTCTTCGTATTGCTTTCATCGAAGTGGTCAAGTGGTTGTGTAATCCATTTTTCCTCCGCGGTGTCTGCCCGTGCCACTGTCCGCTGGGGCGGACCACGATACAACTCTTTTAGGGTTTTAACAAAAACGGGCACATCTTTCTTCAGTTTCAGGCTATTTGCCTGGCTAGCCAAAGCCACTAGCGCAAGGCTAACCAACTGAAGCAAAAGCATGTTTGTAAATGAAATTCCCAAATGACCAACGTTCAGCTTTTATGTAATCAAAGTGCAATTCAGTTTTCAATAATTTGCGATCAAGATAGAAGGCCATAAAACTAAAATTGATAAGCTTTTGGAGTGGAATTTCAATAGAATCTTGTGATAAGACGGGATTTTCAGCAACCTGACCCGTGTGACGAATTTATGATGTCCATTGACCATGTCCATTGTATTCGGCACGATTTACATGTATTTCATAGGTTGTCAGCCCAATTATTCATATAACTGACCTCAGCAAAATCTATGCTACGATCTGGTACGTTGTTTAATTACTATTGGATCTGTTCCACATGGTGACTTATTGCAATTACTTATTTTTTTTATGGTAGCAACTATTAGATTGCGGTTATCGCCTTAAGAATTTTGAACTTCAATTAATTTCCAAAGCAATTTATGTCGATGTGCGACTAAAAGCAATGTTATAATTGATATCGATAAGCTATGTGATATACACTGTTATTAATTTGTGTTTAGATTATATACAGTTGATCGCAATCGAATAAAGCAAGCTAAAACTAAAATTTATCAAATATTTACTTCAGCCATTCGCGAACCAGTTCAGCAATGCGTTCTTTTGAGGCGCGCATTTCAGCAGTGTCATCGACACTGATCGAACCGAAGTCTTTGCAGTGAGCATGTTCTGCGAATTAAATAATTTATCAAATATAATGTTTTCAATGTGTAAACTCATTAGTCTACCTGGTATAATGGTCGCTTGCGTCTCATCCTGTATGCCCATTGCACGCCAAGGATCCAAATGACCATGTGTTAGGTAGACATTCTGCACATTTGGGGACAGACCACCAAAGTTTTCATTTGTTTCGGCCACACGGCTCTCGATATAGGAATTGGTAAACTGTGCGCCATAGAGATCGGCGCACATGGTAGTGTAAAATGTTACGGGGAACTTGGTACCGAATGGTTGGGCGCTCGATCCTGAGGTCTGATACCAGCCGTACTCGTTGCATGTCTGATATATCCATTGACGCACTGAAAGATGATCATTTATTTGTGAGGAAATATGTTTTCAACAGTGCCGCATTCAAAAACCTACTTATATTTCCGGTGTACCTTGACTCTGAAAGTACGCCAATCATGGCATCATAGCTAAGGTCGTGGCAGTTGCCACCGCTCTTTTCAAATTCGCTGAGAATGTAACTGCTTACTCCAACAAGATCGGAACTTTCAGCCATAATCTTCTGGCACACGCCCTCAATGTTTCCCGCACTGTGGCATAAATGACAATAAAATAACGATTTTTGCACCTATGACGAACTATGCTCACTCATGAGTCTGCACGAGGCCAGCAAATATGTCGGATATCTCACTAAACAATGTCCATATATCCAGATCACTGTACACATCAAAACGTTCGCAAAGCTTCAGCAGAGCCTTGACCTCAGCTCCGCGTTTGCTAGCAATCATCGCTTCCATCTCGGCAATGCCGTTCTCTATACGATTATAACAGGCAGAACCGCCCATTAGGGCTATGGATTGTCCTGTAACCTCCTTGTACTCTAAGCAAATAGTGTGAAAAGAGATTTTAAAGCAGAGGTAAAGTTAAACGTACCCACAAAGTTCATTTTGGCAAATAGTGGAGCACTTGAAGCCCAACCACCTACGACCAAATCGGGGTAGGTTTTCTTGAACCAAGTGACCATCGTCGCCGAGTAGGAGCCACCGACAATTATGACTTTGGAATCAACTAAGCCCTCATAGGTGGCCTTTTGGGTTGTTATAAAGTGTGCCAGATCGGCCAAGGCCTGTTTTACATGCAAATATTGAATGTTCTCATTGGACAAGTCTCTGAAAAGCATTGCAATTCATTAAAATCTCGTTTACAACTCCATTTATTTATTACTAACGGCAGAGGATGGCTTTCGCCATAGTATCGATGTTCAGTATAGGCCAAAAGTCCATTGTGCTCCTTGGCCATATCATACATGTGTCCAGCTGTGATGCGACCCGTTGATATCTCCCATTCTCCACCCAAGAAAATGAACAAAGGTCCACCGGCTTTAAAGAATACATCGTTCAACATGTATCGCTGAAGATACAAGTTTATAAAAAAAATATATATATAAGTTGGTTGGCACCGATTATATAACAAATGACGCATACCATTTGCCAAGTCCGTGTCTCGGACTCATCAAAGTGGTCTAACTTCTGCTCGATCCACAATGTTTGCACCTCATCTGCTCGATTCTGGTTTGCCGGCACAGGCGGCTCCCCGTGCAGTTTGTTGAATGTCCGCTGGAAGATATTCCCATCAGCCTGTACCAGGCCCAATGCTAGCAGCACAAGAATTACTCCGACTAGGTGGTGTGTCATCGTTGTGGGTTGGACTTCTACTGTGGCTCAGGCACCATTCGAGCACCACTAATACGTGTTGCTTAGCTCAGCGGCAAATCTTATCACACACTTTTTAGGGTATTAATCTAGGTAAAACAAATCGCACTAAAAGTTGTAAATAATACTAACGCATTCGTTTCAACTTGGTGGCCTACAACTTTGTGGAGCCCAGTGCCATGCAGTGCTTTATCAGTTCTTCAAGTCGAGCCATTTTTAAAGCAATTGAAGTCGAGCGAATTTTATTTGAACGACTCACTCAAAGTATTTGCAGTCAGTTCGACAAGCTGATAATGCTTATCAAGAAGCCCTATTTTGTGTTTTATATCGATTTTAAGTAGATTATATACGGTTGATCCCAATCGATTTTTTTCTCGTTTACACGAACTCATTTCAAATAAAATTCTCACACTAAATTGGAAAAGAATGTAGGCACTTTACTGCCTTTTATGCCCAATGGGCAATATAAAATAACAACTCAACCCTTGCCCAGGACTTAAACAAAGAATCATGTTATTAAATTGACTGAATAATGAGTTCCATATAAATGTATTAATTAAGTTTTTGATTTATGCTTGGGTTACCTAATATACAGCTTTAATAAGGAAAGTTTTTCGTTACGTCAGGTTCAGCATTTGACATTCTACATGTGATTTTTATTTTAAAAATCCTCTTTTTTGGTCAATTGCACAATATAAAAATTAACATTTTGTTAGTGTTTCGCGAGTGGTACCCCCGCCATTTATCCAGCTCTCAATTAGCTCGAAGCCTTTTTGCTTGGCAGCTGCAAGAGCGGGAGGATCATTAGGACTGCGAGCTCGCAAATCATGGCAGTGAGCAATGCCTGTGTAGAATTCACGTGAATATTATAAAGTGGAATTAAATATTTTAATCAATTTATACCTGGTATAACAGTCGCGCATTCGTCAACTATGCCAGCCCATCTCCAGGGATCATCTTCGGCTTTTGTGAAATAAATGTGATCAACATTGGGCTGAGTACCTCCATATAGTGCGTTGATTTCATCAACTTTTTTATTTATATAGTCAATGGTGAATTTAGGACCAAACTCCTTTTTACACTGGGCAATTAAGGAGGAAAAAGGCTTTCTGTTACCGAAAGGTTGATGTTGGGAGCTTGTGCTTTGGAAGTTACCGAACTCATTGCAAGTTTGATAAAAATATTGACGGGCTGAAATGAGTATCTAACTAAATTCAATCGTTAGTCATATAAGAAAGTATATTTACTTGAATGGTCCTCCGAAAATTCAATGTCATCCTTGTTACCCACTTCTGGTATTTTTGACCTGAGATGCTGTAAGACTAAACCGAATTCGACAATGTCATTGCTATCAACCGCAGTTATATTGCTGCATATTTTTTGGAACATGGATATGCTGAATGAAGTGTTAATATTAATATACAGACTTTCGGAAAAATACATTTTTTGATAAGTCTCACTTGCGATGCTGCACATGAGTTGCTATTGTCTCATCCATGTTGTTATATTCGACAGTTAAGTTAAGTTGCTGAAGCAATGTATAAGTTTCATCGTTTGCTTTCTTATGTTTGAGGTAAGCTTTGGTGAAATGGTTAACTTGATCGTAACATACATCTCCACCGATCTTGCGAATTGATTTACCAACGCTTACTAAGGCATCTAGGTGTAAAAGAAAGGCTTCAGTATCAAATCAACTGTACGAATGTATAAACCAAACCGGAATAGTCCAATCTGTAGTAGAGCCCCGCGCAAGATGACCAACCGCCGTCAATTAATTCAGGATAATCCTTCCGAAAATAGGTTACTATGCTTCCTGCGTACGAGCAGCCGAGAATGATGACCTTAGAGTTGGCTAGTCCAGGAACAGAGGATTTTTGGTGCCTAACGAAATGGGCCAGATCAGCTAGGGCTTGCTTCATCGTCAAATATTGCAGGTTTTCAGTGGTTAAATTTCTGTTGGATTAGTTGATTTAAATTACACTCGTTGTGCATTCCGTATTACTACTCACTGTACTGGATGACTTTTGCCGTAGTAACGATGTTCGGTTTGAAACGCATAGGCATTGAACTTTTCAACCAATTCGTAGAACATGCCACACAATTCGCTTTTTACTGCTAAAGGCCATTCACCATTCACATTGATAAGGATGGGACCACCAGGCTTATAAAAAGTATCACTTTCCGAATAACGCTGAAATAAATAAACAAATTAAATGTTAATTTACTAATAGAATGTAAATGCTATAAACACTTTATTAACTTGCCATTTGCCATGTGCGCGTCTCGTTCTCATCGAAATGATCCAATTTCTGCTCGATCCATAGTTCCTTCTCAGTAAAATTGTCATTAAAACCCATGACTAATTGCGCAATGATCAAAATGATGAAGTTTTGTAGCTTCATTGCACGCCAATATTATTGATCTAGCCCCTGATGAATAACGTCTACGGGCACCTGTCAACTGCTAAATGACAACTGTCTAACTGTTAGTTCAAGATGTGTCAATAAATAGTCTAAGGTGCTTCAAACATTTAGCAAATGATACGGTTTTGAATATGGAAGGTGATGTTAATTATTTACACTTAGACCATGACAAATTAAGGTTACAATGAATTACAATAATGCATAACTATTATACAAACATATGCATATATTCCTATATAAACATAGATTAAATTAAATGGCACCAACAAAATTCTGCTGTTGTTTTTTTTTTCACCTCCATTCAAATGGAATCCAGACAATATCAAACGGAAATGGATTTTGGAAAGGGAAAAATTAGAAATTTAAGAGCACACTACACGTGTTCTAAATTCAGTTCGATATAATTAGTTTCATCAGTGCCGGATGTGGCAATCCAGAAGCAGCCCTTGAACCCTTCAAGAAGTGCTGCACACTTGCACTCTGCACACGTCCCAAATAAAAAGGGTAGTCGCTGCTCAATAATAGATAGCCGAAATAGTCGAAAACAGGAAAGGAATATAATTCGTAGCCCGACAAATGGATTATTGAATAGTCGTACCAGCAATTAATATGCAGGGCTGGCAAATGCGACATATCAAAAGGATAGCGAAAGGATGTGCATGTCGGATTTCTCATTTGCATATTCATTTAACCCGAACCAGCGTTTATATGTAGGTATGTAGGTTTTCTTACATACATATTTTACTCCTGTAAAAATTCCAGTAGAAAATTAAAATGAGAAAAAAATGAATACGTTTAGAAAGCGGTGTTTACTCTCAACGGGCAGACTTACTTATTTTGGTTTTTATTTAATTAAACTTAAACAATACACTTAGAGACCTAATAGTGTTCTATCTCTTTCTCGTTGTAGGTTATCTTCTACGATTCAGATTGGAATCCCACCGTTGACCAACAGGCCATGGATCGAGCGCATCGCCTGGGCCAAACCAAACAGGTGACAGTCTATCGACTCATCTGTAAGGGCACCATCGAGGAGCGAATTCTACAGCGGGCACGGGAAAAGAGCGAGGTAAGAAACCCACTCGGGCCCAGGAAACCGCAAAACTCTATTCAGCAAACTGAACAAAAACACGTCGCTTGGAGTTTCTGCTTTCTTTGGCCATATATTAGGCACGTGCGCGGACTTACCCCTGCCTGACTTGAAGTTGCATGTCGCATTGTTGCGCCTCATTCAAAATGCTAAGTGAAACTCGAGGCGCACACATGAAACACTTGTACGAGATGCGCATTGTTGGGGCAGTTATAAAGACACGGGTAAACCGATACCGGAAATTAATTATACAATTGGTTAGGCGACATTTTGGTTACGCCTTTCAGTTCTCTTAAAAAAAAAATAAAAACCATTCATGGTACATATTTGTTGTTGAGTTCTTTGCATTTATTAGTTTAATTGCCGAACTCTTGATTATCATACTAAAGTGCTTAGGCCGCCAGAACGGAAGCTAAGTAAATCTATGCGAAGCCCCAGGCGCTACTCACTTCTACGTGTTTCATTTCATTTCCTGCGGCACTGCTCTTTCAATATTTTCGGCATACTTTTTCATATTAGTAATATATTTTTTTTATTTATATTTTCTACAGATACAACGTATGGTTATAAGTGGCGGCAATTTCAAGCCCGATACACTCAAGCCCAAAGAAGTCGTCTCATTGCTTTTGGATGATGAGGAAATTGAAATGAAATGTAAGTTGGGCGTGGATATTTAAATATCCATAGGTAAAGCTAGATAGATAGACTATTAATTAAAAAATAAAGTAAGGATATCTTAGATTATTAATAAAAATAATAAGGTAAGGATATCTTTACTGCCTGCAGAAAGCCAGACCTATGCAAAGATTCATGACGTTAGCTTTAAAATTGAGCGACAAGATCGCATAGCAACAGGCAAATAGACAGGCGGACATGGCTGTTAGTGTAATGTTAATTATTAAAACTTTTAAGTGAAGTTCAATTTTTAAGGAATCATTCGAAAAGTGGGGTTAATCACTGCCTTTATAGTAAGGTTGTAAATATTGACCTTAACCTGAGTCGAATCCCTTTAATAAGCTTTTATTTAACTGAGTACGAATGTCTTACATGTAAGAGACTGATTTTAAATATTTCATGGAATAAATAAAGAAATAAAAAGGAATATGGGGTAAAGACTAAGGCACATTTCTTAAATATTTACAATTATTTGATATGTTTATGCACCAAAATGTAATTAACTTTGTTTTATTTGTTTAACAGATCGCCAGGAAGTCAAACAGCAGGTAAAAGAAGATATATCCTCCTCCTCCTCACCTATCACGACAGCAACAGCGAGAACATCAACGCCAGCTGCAACTGCGAGTGAACGTAAGCGACGCAAGCCAAATAAGGTGAGTGAGTGCCCAAAAAGGACAGCCACTAATTGTTTAATTAAAAGAGAAAGAGATATGCAAATCGAGATGCGTAAAACTAAAGACTTCCGGCCAAAAGCAGTTTTTATCTGATCCATAAATCTCTTTGCTGCATTGCACTTTTACGCATGATCCGACTGGCTGTTAATGGCCAGTTATTAGACCAAGTTTACACTTGTTACACGCGGCGACAGGTTCCGCAGTCTCAATGAAAGTAAATGATCTTTTAAGTGAAGTTCAAATTGCGACTCGACCATATACAGCCACAACAGAGGCGGGGGGGTAAGTGAGACAGCTTTGAGTCTGGCTCTGGCTCTGGCTCTTTTGTTGTTCTTACTTGGGCACTGCATGGTGGTCATGGTCACGTGATTCATGCAACAACAACAACAACCACAACAACAACAGCATCAGCAGCAGCAACAACGACAATTCAATTTGCTACAAGACTCAACTTGTCTTGGTCTGTTACGTAGCGTGCTTTGAACTTGCTGCCAGCTTTGGGCATATTCGTAGTGGATCTGGTGCTGCTCCGGCTGCCTATATTCATTCATCCAAGTGTTGTGTTCCCTACATCCATATACATATAAATACAAATACATATACATACATATATACATATGTATAAAGCAAACACTTTGCTATAACCAACTTGGGCTTTCTGTCCAAGTCTTGGAAAACAGTTTCAAGTGCCTTGTGCCTTGGAGTCTTTAGTAGGCTTGTGGGGTGCTGGTCGGCTCTTTTCGTTTTGGTTTCGCTAAATGATTTTGTGCGTTCAATGGAACACTGATTATGGTCTGTTGCCTCTTTGTCTTTTCATTTCTCTCCGTTTTTGGTTAGTTCTACTCGTAGGTCTCTGCCTCTCCTACTTACGGTCTCCGTGCTTCTTTGCCTGAGAGGGGGGCGGCCTGCACTCAAGTTCAAATACCACCACAATATACAGACGGCATATAAGTATTTTAATGGCACGCAGCCATCTTTTTTCTGGTTCTTGTGGACTGCTTCTTCTTTTTGTGCATCTACATAGTCTGGTTGTCAATTGGAAGTTCAAGTTTCAAATTCTTGTAGTTAGTTCAAGTTAAAGGTTAGCTAACATTGGCCATCGAGCGAAGCTAAGCGATGCGTTTGAAACTGATTGCAGCACATTCATGTCAATGATATTTATTAAGTTTTTAACGGTTTCTTGCTCGTAAATGCGGCCTTGTTAGGGGGTACTACAATATGCTTCATTGGTTTAAGTGGGTTGGCTTAAAATTTCGATGGCCTGCTTATGAAACCGCGTGGAAAAGGGAAATTAGAAGATTGTTAAATGCATTTCTGCTGTCATTGGTAAAAAATAGTAAAACTAAAAAATAGTAAAAACTAAAACAATTCTGCACTCCCTTCTTAAATAAAGATCTTAACTTAGTATACAGTATTCTCTCGCTCAATGCAACCCACTAAAAATCGGGCATATTTCGAAAAACTCGTCTGCTTCAAAACCTGATGTTTTCAACTGACTTGCGGCCTAAAGGAAGACAATTTAAGTTGATCAACTAAATACAAAATTATTAGCATGATTAAAAGTTCAGTTCGCTAGCACTTTGTCTACAATTCTAAGAATTTATCGAGGCTTTGTATTGACTCTCATGAGCGAAGGCCTACTGTACTTCCTAAGCCAAATATTTGACACTCTATAGTCCATTTGTAATGACGATTAATGATCGTCAATAAAAACTAAAATTATATGGAAGTTTTTGTTACCGAATATGTAAAATTGGGTTTCATTATCTAAGCTAAATAAAGTTTTCGAAGCTTTAATATTAAACTGAGCTGCAATAAATCAATATGCTCAAGTGCAAGTGGCAACTTTGCCCGGGCGGAGCTGGATCATACGAGTTACATTACATATTCACAGTAAAAGCTGCTACTGTGCTGCCTATCAAGATAATTGCTATCGAAATCTGTGCAAATTTTATGCTAATTTTTTTTACATTTACCCCAGCGCCGTGTTACGCCCTGAAGCATGGCTTTTTTAGTCATCTCCCCAGTGGGTAAAACATTCCCGTCCCCATTTTAAGTAAGGCCAAAAATTGTATAGCGTCCTACTCAGGAGCTGACCAACCCGACTGCACTAAGCAATAACTCAAGTCTCAGTTTGGCATGAATTATTTTAATGCTACACAAAAGAAAGAACAACATGAAGAACAACAAAAACAAGATCGGGGACTGGCATAAATTATAAGTGTAACATTTTTTGGACCAGTTGGTTAGGGTGGGTCGCACCGAAACGAATAGACAACGAGACGATATTCGTTATCTTATTTCCGTTGCTCATAAAAATGCTAATTGTTTTTATTGCTACATCAGAAATTAAACACATTTTTATTATATTTGTCTTAGGAGGCTAATATGGGCGGCATTACGATTCCGGCAAATGAAGAAGATGGAGACCGATGCAGCTCAGCTGCCAAGCGCGTCAAACAAGAGGTGGACGAGATGTCCATTGACGTAGCCATTGCCTCCTCCTCATCCAGCGCTGGCACTGATAGCAATAACCAAATCGGCCAAGAGACTTATGTGCCCGGTGCGATGCGTGTGCAGAAACAAGCACAGCAGCAACAGCATCAGCAG